CAAATTCAAGTCATTTAAAAAGATTTAATCTTATATCACTTTGTTAAACAAGTGCAATACATGTTAAACTCAGAATTATTCAAATCTAAATAAAATAATAAAATAAAAATAAATAGCATTCTACTGCTCTTAGCTTGTATTCACCTTAAAATGTACTCCATTTAATCATTTTCTCTAAAACTAGAACTGTATATAATATACTGTTTTATTTAAAACCGTTTTATTTTTTCTCCACATTGTCCTTTTAAAAAGAAAGTTGTTAATGAGCTCTGCTGCAGTTTTTTAAAGTCTTGCGGGTATAATGCTGCTATCAATGAGACCAGACCGCAATAAAGAATGTCACCAAAGCTCTTTTGCAAGTGTGAAATATAAAATGTGGAGGCTCTTAAAACGCAGAGACAAAAAGTCTGATGAAAATTGTTCTGAACTTATATACACTATGAAATACAGTCTTATTAAAGCTTCAAGGCGAACAGACTAATAAGCTTCCCCAATTATTCATTTTTTTAACCATACAAAAAAGATTGTGACGCTTGTGTACATATTCGCTCTGTAAGTGCAAGCACCCCCCTTTCATCTAGACACCTATTAGAAAATGAATTCCTACACTAACTGTTTGTGTTAGCAGTAAACTTCTCCAGCGGAGAAGTCTGACCAGAACCCTCTTCCCCCCGCCCTGTGTCATAATCACCCCTGGTCTTCAGTTCTATCAACATGTGGCACATGTCCTTGACACACTCAGCAAACTCTATGCACGGCTCATTTCCCTCACCTCTCCCTCTCTCTCTTTTAATATGAGGTTGCCTGGTAAAGAAGCTGGAATCTAATAACGGTGACAGTGGGGCTGTTTTGTTATTGTTCCCTCAATCTCAGACAGAGAGACTGCACGGACATTAATGAAATGGATAGACACAGAACAAAAACAGAGGCATTTCTTTTAAAAAAAGCTACACAAATAATATATATTGGAACATGCTACAATTGAGAACAAGAGTAACTGTGAGTGTCGATATGCATTATTGTTTAAAGTTCTTGCCTGTGTGTGCGTAAACCTGTTTGACTTTCCAATTCTACAGATGCTGATAGGAATTGTAGCATTAATGTTAGGGTCAGAGAAAGAAAAAGAGAGTGGGACTGATGAGACTGATGGTAAAAGAAGAACGGGACGCATGTCTCGTCTTGTGCATCGCTGCTGTGACTGCATTAGTGGAATGCTACAGTCACATGAAAGAGCTCTCTGAGAAGCAGCATTTCTGTCTGCTCAAAAGCTGCACTGTCCCCCTTTCTGCATACACACACTCACATACACACACAAACACTTGAACACTATTATTTATCAACACACCTAGTGTGTAAATGAACTTTCAGCATAGAAAATCACTGAGAACTTTAGAGGGGTAGTTTGTAATAAATGAATGATACTAAATCATAGTTTTCTCACAAATTGGCCAATGTTCTTCTAATAAAGGTCACTAAGTAAATTCCACAACGTTAATGTATAATAAAGAGTCTCAAACGTCTACAAAATGAGTTATAGAAACAGATTCATTTTAGATTTTAAGATGAACATAAGTGAACTCAAAGCTTGAATGGAAAGCATTTTCATATCTAGATTAATTCATAAAATTACTGACATGTATTTTATGTACACACAATACCTTAGTTGTCTTGCCATATCTGATCAGTACTCCAGTCCAAGACTGTTCTGAAGTGACAGTTTTTAATCAAACCTTTCCTCTTCACAGGGTTTTTAAACAGATCTATCCTTGCTTTTTTTATGAAGAGGCAAATGCTATAAATGAAATACCCTCTTTTTTCCAGCACATTCTGTACATACGGTATAATGTGAAACATCTTATTCTGTAGTACCTCCTTATAAACTATAAAAAATAAATCACCCACAATAATCATACACCTCCCCACTGAGTACTTTAGTCACTGTGAGGCTTCTGTTTTGTGCTAGCTTGTAGATCCACAACAACCCCAACCCAGCTCGCTTTATTCTATGAAAAGAAGTGAATTATTGTCTTAGTTCTTTAAGAGAGCAGAGGTTACCCTTAAACTATCATTTCCTCAGGTCATCAATCCAGGTCTAGCAGCTGACACACTCGAGCATTTCTGTTTTACCTCAACATTTACAGCTATTCCGCAACACAATACTCTTGGCAATGAATCACAGAAATACAACAGCGAGCACATACTCTTGTGAAAAAAATCATCTAATTTGCTGGTTTTTTTTTTTTTTTTTTAAGTGTTTATGTTGGAAACTTTATTGATGATGGTCTGTTTATTTTGTGCACAAAAGCACAAAACCTCAAAGCCAAATAATAATAATGTTGTCACAACAGAAATAACACAATTTATGTAAGCTGTCATCTCTGATTTTACTCAAATGATTTCTCTGATTTCTTGTTTCCTGCTAAATTCATAAATGATCTTTCAAAACACCACTGATCTAACTGATCAGAGGCTGCATTAGCAAATATAGGGTAAAACACCTAATAAAAAACAAAGCCTAATTATTTCAGCATGCTCTCTTTACTGTACTGCCTTTTTTCCCAACAGCTAAAATCTTTGTAAAACTTTACAATGAAGTTCCAGTAGTTATTGTTAGCTAATGTGTTTACTTTCATAAACAAACAATGATCAATGATATTTATTACATTATTTATTCATCTTTATTTACACTAATTAATGAACGTGAAGTTATTCCTGTTAACTTACAGTGCATTAACTCATTTTAACAAGCACAACTAAGTATTTTAATAATGCATTGGTAAATGTTGTTAGTAAAAACCATTTTGTTGTAAAGTGTGACCATGAATTGTTTTGTTTGTTTGTTTGTTTAGTTATAAATACAATGTAAAATAATTCATTTATATTTCTGGTTTCAATAAATTACCAAGACGGTAGCATATGACAAGAATCCACAGACTGATAAAGAAAGAGAAAATCATTTTTAAAAAGCTGGTCTTTTCAAACACATGTTCTGTTTTGTAAGTGTCATGGCCAACCTGTCGTACCTCTCACCCCATCCACACATAACAAATCATTTCTCGATCATGGTGGACATGGATCACAGTTTTAGCAGAGCAAATTCTTGCTGCATTTTCCATTGTTTCCTCATTTAGGTAGCATAGTCGTATGAGGCTTTTGTTTTTTTGTTTTTTTGACAATGAGCACATTACTGTTTTTATTGTTGATTTATATTGTTTGATTACTACTTTTATTAATAATAATAATACTTTTTTGCAGTCCTACATTTATACTCATGCAGAACAGAAACTTTGACATTTTTACAACTGTCACGATCTGAAAGGTTCAAGAGATCTGGAGATCAAATGAGCAGTGTGTGTGTGTGTGTGTGCGCGCGTGTGTGTGTGTGTGTGTGAGTGTGTGTGTGTGTGTGGTGAGTAGGCAGAGGGTCAGAGAACACAGGGCTAAGTGGACCTGCTCTTCATTAAGACAATGTCTCCGGGGGACGTCACTAGGGCTACCTGTCCGTGCGCTTATTGAACCGTCTAACCATCATCTACCCTCTTACTCTGCCAGAGTCCCTGGAGAATCACACCAGCACAGCTGACAAGTTCAGCCTTAGACTGCGCCTGCAACATGAAAGTACCTCTTCATTTTACCTCCTCCTTCGTTTTTTCACACACCCTTTCATTTCTCCTAAACTCCTTCCCTAAACCTATGCTTTATTTTTTTAGGAAAAAAGGAGATGAGACTGAGAAAGACAAAGAGGAAGAGAGAGGGGAGGATAGAGATAGAGATGGGGGACATAACTGCGTTTGACTTCTGACATGGAGCAGATGAAATGTTAAGTGTCCAGACAAGTCCGGGGAGCCGTGCAGATAAAAGTCATCAAATGACACTCTTGGAATGCAAATTGGCATTCTTGACTGCAGTGCTTGAACAATTGTGCCCCATCACAGACAACCACTGAGATTAGGGGGGAGAAAAAAAAAAAGAATAATTTAAAGCGGCAAAGTCATTAAACCTTAAGTAGAGGAACAGGAAGATTTTCCCCCTAGTAGTATATACTCTATTCAGCGATATCCCCTCCTTGCTTCGCTGTTCTCTGAAAGTGAAATGCCTCAGTGTTCACCTGCGCTTGTAAATCATTTTCCCTCATTTTAGCAAAGTGAAATAAATGAATGATAGAGAATAATAGAAAATACTGTAATTGTCTGTAATGAGTTTATAAAATAAAGTTTTTGTTTGAATTAATTGTAGGTGCTCAGCTGATTAATACATTCAAAATGAATCATGATGATTGTTGTTGGTTAAAAACGATTAAAAAGTTTTTTTTATTTTTTAGAGCGATGGATAATATTATTGTGTAATTCATAAACTATGGGTGCATTTATGAAATTTTATTTCATAAGGAAGTCATGATGCTTTTTATCTTTTAAAAGATTATTAGAATATTATTTCAAGATTTATAAGGCTATATTACATTAAGAATGGGCTATTTTAATAGTTTTATTATTGCATGTTTTTTATCTGTTTATTACTGACTGTTGTACTTAAGTATAACAAACAAACAAAATTGCCACAGATGAAATTTATCTAAATGTGTTTACAGTTTTCAAATGACCATTTTGGATTTTTGATTAATATAGCTAATTTTAAATATTTTTTTCTTTTACACAAAAGCGACTTTGTGCAATCAGTTTATGTGTGTTTATTTAGATGTACAATAATAAGGAAATATTGAGATACAGGTAAAGCAGTTTATCTTTACCTTTAGTATGTAAACATGCTGATGGCGGTTGATTTTCTCATTAGTCCCAACTAACTAAACATTTTTCGGAAACTTTTAGTCTAAGCCTTTTAGAGACAATACCGCCTAACAGATTTACGCTCATTTATTTACAACTTTTAGGACTTGTGACAATTGAATTGCACGTGACGTAATGATTACATATTGAGCGTTACAATAATGTTTGTTAATGCCATTAATGTAAAGTGTTCGTGTGTTGTTCGGTCATACTCACCATTTCTTCATATTGTGTGAATGGCTAAATGAAGTTCAGTCAGATCTCGCCCTCATGTGGGGGGACTCTATCCTCTTCCCTCTCCTCTTCTTTACGCAAATCTCACTAAACTCGCTCAAAACTTTATGTTTGTCCGCTCACTTTTTTAAGCGATTAAAATATTAGGATCAAAAACGGCAGCAGTCCGTCATCGTTAGGAAAAGAAACAACACTGATAAAAAACGGAATCACTACGCTCTCGTCATTCGCATGTACCGGGTCTCTGAAAAGAGAAAGAAGCCCGTTGGCTGAAATATTAGCTATTCGGTGGATCAAGAAGCCCAGCGCTGGTTCCGCTGTTCCAGGTCCGCTCGTATGAGCCACTCCACCGGGACCGAAGCGGGACAGAAGCGGGACTAAAGTGGGTGGGTAGTTTGAAGCAGCGGGGTAAATCTCTGGCTGTCCGGGAAGAGAAAACTGACTGTCTTACTCACTCCCGGCTATTTCTTCTGCATAGTCAGCTCTCTCTGACTGCTGCATTACATCCAAAGGAACGTGGTAATATATTTTAGTCTTGTGTAGTTGGTAGTGCATTACCTTCTAGAGGAGTTGATCATTTATTAAAATATTGCAAATTGTGCTGATTATCTTATTATCTAATTAGATTTTTTTCAATCTTCTAGTCTGTTCAGTAATATAGTTTAGCCTACTTTAGGTAGGGTATTATATAGGCTAACATAGAAAGTGTTTCTTCCTTTGCCTTTTTTTTCTTTTTCTTTTTTCTTTTTTTTTACATTTCTAAACAGAAAAAAAAAAAACTTTAAAAGATATCACAGGATCTGACTTGTTCGCTTACTTTACAACAAATGGGCAGAACACTGTTGGATTTTTTAGTGCTGTGTAAATCAAAGATTTTTTTAATGACTTTAAATAATTTTTTTTTCTTCATCAGCCCTGCTTTTAAATGCTTTAATGTCAGTTAAATGAGAGTCCCCTGAAAACACACATAGGCTTGTGTGCATATACACACGCACACACATACACACACATGCACGCAAACCCATACACACACACAAATCTCTAAGATATTTTGCTTTAGAGATGTTTGAGGACACTGATTTCCTATATTTCTTCAAAACTTGTGTCCCCAGACTGTCTGAACAGAGCGCTTATAAATGTTTAATTATGGACTTGTTTCGTTTTTTCTTACAGTGCGCACTGAGCTTGATTCTCAAGAGTGAAGGATGAGGAAAGTCAAATGACAGACTTCTCCTTTGGACCAATAGAAGCCCCTAAATCCCAAGGCAGTCATTTTGATCAAGCTGAGTGCCTACAAGCCCCACTCACATGTTTGGTCAAGAGGTAAATAATAGATCAGGGATTAAACTTGTGTAGAATTCGTTCTAGGGTAACAAGCTACACACTCCCAGGATATGCATATTCATCTGATGTGCAAGGCCATGGCAGAGTAAATACCATATGCCCAGTAGTTAGAGAGCTTAAATCCCTAATTAAATGAGATATTACTGTACATTGCTCTCTGATATTAAACAACAGAACAGAGAAAATAGACCTTTAAAGAATTATGAGTAATGGATATTAGTATGTTCACTTGGGTTCAGTTTCCTAGCATAAAATGCTACAAATAAGTAAGTCTGTGTCTGATATTTCATAGAACTTTTAGCTTGTAGACGTGGCTTCTTGCATATTGTATATTTTTTGTTTTTATTCTTTTGATTTCACTGAATAAATGCAATCAATTAAGCATTCTCATCAAGTGGCAAGCCATCATCTAAGGGCAATGAACAAGTGGCGTCCACTAGTTATGAGCTCAGCAGCTTGACTCCTTTATTTGCTCAAGAAAAACATGACATTAAAGCGGCTTCCTTCCTGAAATCAGCTGCGAAAAGCCACCTGTGGGACCAGAGTATAAGTATTGGTTTATGTCAGACCCCTTCCAATTGTCTAATTACTCAAAGGGCAGTTGATGATGAGCTATTGAACCTTCTACCGGTTTTGGTCCTTTGGGAGGGTCATCAGCTGTCATAGACTGTGTGTCTGTTCAATAAATGCCACACGTATTTCCTGTTTATGGGCACTCAGGAAAATGTCAAGCTAATGGTGTCGCTTGACTTAGGAGAGGAGGCCACGTGCTCTTCACTACTCTCACCATCCACCCACAATATGGAAGTCATTTTAACCATTGATTTCTTCTCTTGTGTAAACTTTCCACACATAGCAGGAACACTAATTCACAGTGGAAGGAAACAAAGTACATACTTGTTAGCTTCACTCTCGATGCCATACTTTCACATGATAATGGCCATGGACACCTCTTAGCACACATTCATAAGCATAAACAAAAACAAAGAAGTGAAAAGGTTCACTGTGTTTGCCAGGGGCTTACATTATTTGAGCAGCATGATCCTCTCAGGGGAAATCTGATACAGCCTGTAGGGGAACCACTTCACTCCTCTTTCCCACAATTCAACAGAGACACATGGGGCAAGCATTGCTCCCTCCACCCCGCTGGCTCCCCTTTCTCCCTCCATCGCCCACAGGAAGAGAGCCCTCTTATCAATCCCCTCATTATCCGAACCCACTGCTTGCTGAAGACAGTTAGAAGGTCATCAGATGGAGCCAGAGACTCATGCACTGGGGACAAATGCTCAACAGTGGAGCTTGTCCTGGGATGCGGAGCATTCTGTGGGAGCTTGGGGTGTGTTGCATGCAGGCGGATGGCCGCGTGATGACAGGTTTGCCGATGGGAAAGTGGAGAGATGCAGCTTTGTAGGTTGAAAGACATGGTACAGAATAAATGACTAACTGCCACTGCTGGTGGTTTTTATAAAGGCCTTATGTTCACCTAATATCCATTATGTATCATATACTGTAATAAATGCTTACTACGTGGCGTTACCCTAAACCCAAACCTCTCAGGAACCTTGCATGTGGCACATTTTGAAAGAGTAAAAAACCTTGTTAAGTAAAAATTAAGATGCTTTAAATTATGAAGACAGAAAGCATGTCACATTCATGTCATTATACAAATGTGTGTCCTCATAAATAACATAAACAAGCATAAACAAATGATTATATATGGTTATGCATATCATTTCTATGTAACAATAATAGAAAAGACAGATATCAGTTGAGACAAAACACTGGTTTATAGACATGCTGAGGTAAGTTCAAGTCTAATGAGTGAACAGATGATTCGATTCAGATGATGGTGGAGATTGTGGATTCAATGGAGGAGATGGTTTAAACATATTTCTTAAACAATGATGATGGAGACAAAAGTAGAGGACATAGCTAGTATATTAATATTAAAATATTAATTGCGGGAAGTAGGTCTATAGTCCATCAAGTAGACCAGAGAGTGAGGGACTAGGAAGTGTTGCACTGTATACAGGTGCTGATGAGCGTGTTGATGAGGTGCAGGTGCAGGTGATTAGTATTCTGAGGATTGTGATTGTAGTGAGGTGGTGATTCTATGACAGTTGCCCAAGCTTAACATTAACCCATAATTTATTAGATTATCTCAAGTCTCAGAATGGTTTTTTATATATTTATTTAATTTTTAAAGTATTTATATTGAAATTGAACTGAATGACAGATTCACAGTGTGACTGAATGGAAATGAGCATAAATGTTGTAGTTTGTTCTTCACCATAATTATAACTTTTGTTTGGAATGTTAAGAATTTTGACAACTTAAAAAATATAATTAGCAGATTTTTTTTAAACTGAAAGCTGAGAGCAACAATTGCAGAATGAATAGTAAGCTATCATCTGCTCATTTGTGCTGCATGACCAAAGCAAAAATTAAATACTTGAATTCATGACACAGCCTTGATCTCCATCAAGCTCTCTGTGGCTCGTATGCACAGATATCATACTTCTGTGACAAGTCATTGACTAGCCAGGTTAATTCTCACGTTTAATTGTATTTATAGCTCCTAGCTCAATAAAACAGGCTGTGTGACTATAGGGAATAATTAAAATGTGTGTCAGTAAGCAGATTTAAGGGAATTTATTTAAATGAATGCATACACTTCTTTTGATATTGCTTGCATTTCAGTGATTATACCATTGTGTGCCAAAGCTGGCAGCCTGGCACATGTGCGATATGTTGCTGACCCCTGGCTCACATAAATGTTTAGAATTGTTTTAATATAGTTTTGATGTTGTTGTTTTTACATTTATTTGTTGTTTGTATTGCCTGCTGTAGCTGGATGTGTAATTGTTTCATTGTTCACATCTATAGTTACACTGTTCGCTGTACTCATTAAAGCACTCTAAGACTCAATTTGTTATGAAATGAAAGTTGTGATAATCTTTTCCTATACTATGGAATATATATTTATATATTAATAAAACTGCTTTTCACTCCACTTCCATGGCATGACTTGAGTTTAGTCCAAATGATTGGATTGTTGTGATTTGCTGTTGTGATCACATGTGAGTGGCAAGTTTACCTGCTTTTGCACCAGCCACTAAAACAAAAAAACAGAGAAACAAAACAGGAATAAACTTTTGATTATGAAGGGTACAATATTATAAATGCACACAAATAAAATAATACCAATTATTAACAATAAATATTTCAATGTTCCAAGATTTAAAATGGTGATGCGGTTGCACAGTGGCTAGCGATGTTGCCTCGCATCAAGAAGATAGCTGATTTGTGCCTTGGCTGGATCAGTTGCCATTTCTGTGTGGAGTTTGCATGTTCTCCCCATGTTCACGTGGGTTTCCTCTGGGTGCTCCGGTTTTCCCTTAAAGACATGTGGTATAGGTGAATTTGATAAGCTAAAATTGTCAGTTGGGTATGAGTGTGTATGGATGTTTTCCAGTGATGGGCTGCAGCTGAAAGGGCATCTGCTGCTTAAACATATGCTGGATAAGTTGGCGGTTCATTCTGCTGTAGTTACCGCAGATTAATGAAGGGACTAAACCGAAAAGAAAATGATTGAATGAATGAAGATTGAAGAATTGCCAATTGGTTGTAAATTAAAATGCACTGCGAATACATAGCCTTAAAAAAAAAAAAAAAATGCTACAAATACCATAAACGGATTACAATTAAATCACTAACAACCAGATATAAATGAATATGTATATATATATATATATATATATATATATATATATATATATATATATATATATATATAAAGTAGAACCCTTATTATACTTCAATTCTATTATTACACTTGATTATCACTTTTTTTTTGGTTGACACTTTTTATATGCACATCCTCATTTTTATACATTTAAATATTCCAAATATTCCTTGGTTACATTTTAAGATAAAACAATGTGTGTGGGTAGATAGATAGCATAAAATTCCCTTTCCTTTTTTAAAACCAATATCCTGAGGCACATGTACTGTCAGAATCAAGTTTAAGGCACATTATCTACATTATCTCGACTGAATTTACTCACCCACATATTCATCCTTGGGGAAATGATACTGTGTGCTTCTCTTTATAATGTATCTCATTTCCATTCCAAAGTGACACTGCCAGGTTTGCAGCTAGCATGTCTACAAAGTGAGAGTCTTGTATGTTTTTAGAACATTATAAAGCATGTCTTTTTCCTGTCCTCTTTATCAAAGGTAAACGCACAGCAGCAGATGACAGTCCCCGTACCTCAAATTGCAGGCGGAGAACCGGGGTTTTCCCAATCCTCTGTGGTGAAATACTTCCCGTGCTCTGCCTACTCAGCTCACCGAGGGATTGTCGACGCTTCCTGATTTCATGTGCAGCACGGTGATTCGGTTGTGAATACATCTCTGTTTCTCAGTGACACAAAGAAGGAGGAACAGATGAGTTAAATGGAATAATTTCGTTTTACATCACATCAGAAATACTAGCATAATGGCAAAGAGGATAGATGGAATCATCATTCATCAAGCTAGGGGTTCATGTTCTAGTCATAATGTTCTTGAAACTGAAGACTCATTCTCACTATTAAAGCAAAAAACAATAAACCAATTGGTTGATTAAAAGAAATTAATTCTTAAAAGCAACCTGTTTATCATTTATAAGAAACTGAAATGAATATTTAGTAACATTGTGGATATATGTGTGTGGTCTGAAAGAAATAATGTGTTGAATAATCTAAATTAAGACAACTCATAGATCATCCTTTTTATTTTTTAATAAATTATAAATAATTTATACAATTTGTTTATTTTATTTGTTGTTTTCGGACCAGATAAAAAAAACTGGAAAAACAGTACATTTATTTCCCACTTGAGCAACATTTGCGTGGTTTTCTGTTGTTCTGAACTTTTTACAGGCCTTAAGGGTTGTAAATGGAGCATGTTACATTTGTGACGTTTGGCCGCTGTTGGAGGCTGTAGAACAGAAACTGATATTAGTGCCAGAGAGAGCATGTAAAATCACATTCGGAATGGATGACTGGTAACTATCAGTGGTAAACAAAGGGCTTTGTTGGGCAAAAAAGAAAAAGTTGATTCAAAAGTGCCATGTGTCTCTGTTCCTAAAAGGGGCAGATGTTGCAAATTACCAGCCAGTCTACTGCCTCTGAAATCGCAGCTCAAATGAGCATCCTAATGAGAGGCACTGTTTGCGGGTCAGAGAAAAGCCTAATCACGCTAAGTCAATTGACTTCTTCTGGAGCAAGAGAGCATGCAAGCTCCAAAGCAGATGACCTGCTGTCTGTTGCACTCCTGCAACCTCCTTTATATCTGTCTAATCTTGTTTCTGTGGTTTTAATCATCTAGCCTTTTGACTATGATATGACTCTAGCCAACAAGGACAGGCACAGTTGTTTAGATACCATTATACAACCATTATGCAATGAAAAAAATTATATGTGAGCGTATGATAATTTACATCGTTTACAACAAGATAAACAACCAGGGTAGACTCTAAAAGAGCTTCATTTCTAAATAGGTACATTGAGAAATATGTATTTAACTTTAGGCTAAATCAAGAGAAAGAGTGTCACAAACCTGGAGTAATTAGAGGTTATGAGGGATATGAGCAAGAGATACAGGAGGAATTTACATTTTCAAAATATGTTTGCAAATGTAGTTTATTATTTATATTAATTCTACGGTGGTGGAGAGAGTTCAACGTGCTTCACTTTAAGAAAACACGTGCAATTACAAAAACGCCAGAAAACTGAGAAAAGATCTTCATCTGTTTGACAGCACACATGCTGCAAATCCTCACAAAGCAAAAACATTTTTAAAAAATGCGCTGCATTTTTTACACAACTCAAACAAATTATTAAAATGCACCGCATTGTCTTACAATGCAAACATTTTATGAAAAACGCACTGCATTTTCTTACAAAAAGAACGGAATATGGCTCAAATGTTTTAAGGGGACCGAAAAACGTAACGGACGCCGCTGTGCCCTGACTATTGCTCAGTGAAGTTGTAGATGATCTTTAAAAGTTGAGCTTTTTGGTTTATTTTAATATCTCGATTCCATTGTCTTTAGTAATTATTTGGCTAAATAATTATAACATAAATAATTAACTCCGTGGTGTTCTGAATAATTTTAAAATTAACGCATCGTGTTTTTGTAAAAATGTTTGCATTTTGAGATAAAGCAGCGCGTTTTAATAATTTGTTTGCGTTATAAGAAAATGCAGCGCGTTTTTTAAAAATGTGTTTGCATTGTGAGGATTTGCTGCACGTTTGCTGTCAAACAGATGAAGATCTTTTCTCAATTAGCCTTCGCTTTTTGTAATTGCACTTTTCTTAAATTGCAGCACGTTAAGCTCTCTCAGCCACCGTAGAATTCACAAATAGCACTCTTCAAAGATAAGATATGGTTATGAATTATAAATTGCCGAAGATCTACGTTCTACATACACTATATTATGTGTCTATATGTAACAATATTATTTGGAGAGAAAAAAACCCTACATTTTATGCTAATGAGCTTGAGGTTACACTTCAGTGTAACACTTTACAATAAGGGTGTTTTAGTTAATGCTAGTTGACATGATTTAATGGTGAACAACACAACTGTTAAGCATTTCTTGATCTTTGCTAATGTTAATTAAACAAATAGCGAACAATGACTAAATTTTTCAGCATTACATAATCGTTGTCAGCGACTCATATTTTAATGCATTTCTATACAATAGTTAATGTGTTAGTTGACTTATACAAATGTTAGTAACATATTAGATAATATTGAAGCAGTGTACACTACAATAATGTTCATAATTATATGAACATGCTTTGTTAATGATAAATCATTTTAGTAACATTAATTAGTTAGATCGGGTTTAGAATTGCTTAATAAATGTGTTGTTCATTGTCAGGTCTTGCTATCTAGTCCATAGACAAATTTGCATTTGTGCATGTGTAAGTAAACATCACCTAATTATAAATTAAATATATTAAATGTAAAGTGGTGCATTAGAATATAAGTAAGATAACATGAACAAAGATTATGTAATGCTGAATTATCGTTTTCAGTAGTTTATGTAAATTAATGTATTGACACATTAATATGTTTAGTTACATTAACATCGACATAGTAGGCCTTATACCTGCTCACCTGATGTTAATTCATGTTAACTTTAAATAACTTTTAATAACCCTATAAATAACCCTTTAATTAATTAAAACAGCCATATTGTAAAGTGTTATCACTTAGCTACAGAGGAGTTACTATCCTGCATTAATAGCTACACACATACACATAGCCTACATTTATTTTGCAATACATATTAATATTTTCTATGCATATTATATTGCTGACCAAGTCCCTCGGTCAAGATACAAGCAGTGGGGTGATTGTTCTTTTGCAGTGGCAAGTCCTAAACTCTGACCTGCCACTTTTTAAGCTTAAGACCCACATGTTTAAATTGGGTTTTAATGCATACCACTGACACTTTGTTATGTTTTAAAGTTTTTGTATTTTATTGATATTTTTGTATTGTTTTGCATTGTCTGCTTTTTTTTGTTGTGCTTGTGTTGTATAATTTGCTTTTACTTGTGTAAAGCAATTTGGTCTACCTTGGTTGTAGTAAAGTGCTATAAAATATAAATAAAACGATTAATTGATTGATTGATTGATTGATTGATTGATTGATTGATTGATTGATTGATTGATTGATTGATTGATTGATTGATTGATTGATTGATTGAATATTTTTACCATAATTGTAGAGGAAAAGAAAGAAAGAAAGAAAGAAAGAACGTAAGAAAGAAAGAAAGAAAGAAAGAAAGAAAGAAAAAAGAAAGAAAGAAAGAAAGAAAGAACAGAGGAATTTCGCATTAATTACATTAATTTAATATAGTATTATTCTGTAGCTACAGTTTCTGTAGCTTTTACTGTGGTTGGAATTAAAAAAATGTTTGCTTTGTTCTGCAAAGGGTGACTCTTATTGACATAAATTACAACAGTTCTGTTAATTAGTACCATGTTCTGTGTATTGTACTGATAGCACGAAAAATATCAACAAAGCCACATTTAAATGAATGATGGCCTTAGGGATCTCTATAATCGAGACTGGCGTACCGTAAAGCGCTTCAGGGTGTCGTGAAGTGTGGTAAACAGCTCTGTACCGAAACACGGAACTGGCGCGAGCATTTGAAAAAGACAAGGCATTTGATCGTGTTTTCGCTTTTACGAGGTATGTCTAATCTTTTTTTTTTTCTTTTAAACCTCTGATGAAAACACGCTGTCAGATGCGACAAGAACGGAGCTTTATTTACATCGCAGATCAGTACTTTAGATAAACTTCAGCCGTATCCAAGGACGCACTGCTGCAGGTCAGACATAACGCACTAACTACATTTAACTTAAATGAGCAATTCTTTTGGTTTATTAAATATTTTGTTTAACGACTTCTTTGTTTCTTTCTTATTAAAGATGTTTAATGCCATATAGATGTAGTCGGTCATATGTTGTAATACGTTTTAGTGTCTTTTATGTCCGATTGCTGTATTGAGTGAGTTTATTGAGCTTTGACACAATATCGATGGAGAATAATCCTATGGGTTTTTATGTTTGTATTTATTCACTGTTTTTTACTCATTGGCACGATTTTTAGTATAGCTGTCATCATTTAAGACTTAACGTTACGTGTGCTGTCAAGATTTGAATGCTGTCTATCTGTCTGTCTGTCTGTCTAACTTATCTATCTATCTGTCTATCTGTCTATCTATCTATCTATCTATCTATCTATCTATCTATCTATCTATCTATCTATCTATCTATCTATCTGTCTATCTGTCTGTCTGTCTGTCTGTCTGTCTGTCTTTACACATTTAGTCATAACAGGTATATAACAAATATGTCTTCTGTCAGGATCTCAATGGATTCCGAAGACAATGAACGTGTTTTACTTCTTAAGGAAAAGCTGATGAGTTTATCTGAAGAACTTGCTCAGTGCCAGGTATATTATGCCATTCGTTTATCAATTCTTTTTCAGTTGTCTAGTTCATCTCTTTTATCTCATTTTAGGGTTTTAGTGATGATGCTTCTCAAAGTATTTTTTTTCTAAGTGTGCTAAATTGTAAAAGTAACAAAATATACCATATAACCTACTGTAGTATATGAGCATCAAATTGAGTAAAAACAACATATGCATAAATGTGTTTTTAGAAACATACAATATACTAACCTGTCATGTAGCTACTGTAAGGTGAAGTTGGCCTACATATTAGTTTTTATATCTATCTGCTATGGCAGCGATGAAGATGCATGGGCATTAATATGCCTTACTGTAACATTGTAACAAATGTGGACATGTCAATGGGCTCAAACAGCTTGCCCTTTACGGCAGCTGAATGCCTGTTGTGAACTAAATATGATGTTTATTTACAATAATAAATCCTAAAATTATGTAAATTCTACAATTAGTCATCATGGCATTATGGCTCTCTCGCTCTCTGCAGACTTATGAAATCAGTGTTGTAAATAAGGGAAAGAAAGATTTATCAAAATAAGCATGCTCAGATAAAGTATAGATACTTAACACAATTGCACAATGATATATAGAATATCTTATTGCTGTCTTCTAATTATTTAGATATTCTTAGATTTGTAGCATTTTTGTGTCAATGTATTGTGATCATGAACAAGCAAAATGTAAATTTTTTTTGGCACTTCAATATACCATGAATAATTAGTTGTTGCTTATACTTTTATAGTGCTTTTTAAAAAAAAAATGAGAGTGATGCAGTGATGTTCTTAATTGTTTAGCTTAATAGTTCAGACATTAACAATTTCACATGCTAATCTGGCCTGCTATGTGCTATATTGATTGAAAATGATAAAGTGACTATTCATAGTCTATTGCACGCTAGCACTTTACAATAAGTAACACTTTACAACAGTAGTTAATTTAATTAAATTAAATTACTACAAAAGCTTTTATCAATCTAAGCTGATGTAAATTTTCTAGTTAATGCCTAATAACCCATTTAAATCATGGACATAATACAAGTCAAAATCATTAAATAAAGTTAACAATTGTATTTTTGTTCTATTAAAATAGTAACTGTAAATCCATTTTGTACTTTTTGAATTTGTTTAAAACATTTATTTGCTCTGAATATGTATGTAGAAGTAAAGCCTAACTTTTTTCTGCAGCTTATTTTACCATTGTGATAGTACCACATACCGTAATAAAAGCTTCCGCAGTTAATCGCATCAAAACCGTACAAAGAGAATCCAAGGTCCATCTGATATGCTTTCACAGAATTAAACACTAAACTGATGTGACTCATGCATCCTGCATACTGTTAAATCCCCACCAGGTGGTGCCTAAAAACAAATACCTGCATTGTCAACAGTGTTAGACTTTTAATAATTAAAAGCTAACAGATTTTTTTAGCATATAGCATACTCCAGGACATCAATAAGACACTTGTTACTAATTGAGAAGAGCCTTCAGATACTCAGTAGGTAGCCTTTGCTTACTATACAACAGTATAAGACTTGCGCTGACCTACAATAGGTTTACATCATCAGTGGATGTCGACTGGCTCCATCTAGCATTTTTCTACTTGCCTGCGGTTCACAATTGATTTTTCTCCTTTCCACTTCTAATGACAAGTGTGTATGTATAAAGCATCACGTCTCATTTCTATAGAAGGTGTGCAGTGCCCATCCATCGACTGCCATTAACGGCAAAATGTTTCTAGTGGACCTGAGAATTATCAGGGAGGCAGTTTTACTTTATTAATATTTGTATAAATAGCAACATTCAGAGAGTGCACTCATCCAGTGGGCATTCATGGCCTGCTGTATGAGATAAATAATTCATCAATACGACTGCCTTTCAACATATCAAACACCTTCCATTCCATGAGAAAATCCCTGTAATGTGCAGGAGTTGCTCAATCTTCTGATGTAGTGAGCTTAAGTTCTTATGAACAGACCACCTATTTGATGGAGGACTTTTCTTAATTTGTCATTATACACAATGAAGACTGGGAACAGTGAGATCTCTATTTCTATTCATTTGCGCAGTCTCTCTCTCTCGCACGCGCTACTTTGTATGTTTAGCCTATGGTCTATCAAGGTCTGCCTGCACCATTTAGTAAATAATTAATTAGACACTTTTGAATAGGGTTTAAAATTCATGTACTAATTGGACACCAGCAGATTCTACAGGGATTTATGACTTTAATCTTATAATGATGTGGACATAATTTAACAGATAATTTTATATTAAGTTGATCTGGTATAATTCAGTTTTTTTTTATTAATGTCAGAAAATGTAGTTTTTAGATGTTTCTCATTAAATGTAATGTAGCTTAAAAATCTTTGAAAGCCATTTTTTTCCTCCCGAAGACACTTTGAATTGTAAGCATGTGCCTCTCTGTTGCCACTTTCTTCTTTATGCGACTAGTCAGTCCAGATTTCTTTCTTTCTTTCTTTCTTTCTTTCTTTCTTTCTTTCTTTCTTTCTTTCTTTCTTTCTTTCTTTCTTTCTTTCTTTCTTTCTTTCTTTCTTTCTTTCTTTCTTTCTTTCTTTCTTTCTTTCTTTTATTTACAGAATGTTCCACATTTACAGAAAGGTTCCACACAGGCATAATACAACTTAAAAATGTGCATATTAAAACAAATGCAGATTTATGTATCAGTAATATAATGTCTAGTATGGTTAACCCAGAAGTCCACATACTTTAGCCTCCATATTCCAATCATTATCAGTCGGTTCAAAACTACAAATGTTTAATAACATGTAATATTTAAACCTGTAATGAAACATACAAAAGGGGAAACAATTATGTCCATCTATTGGTCTTTTCAAGAATTGTATTATTATGATGACACTGTCTTTATAATTGACTTTGGACAGTTTATATTCTGTGGCCACGAAATTAATTATATAAATGTTAGAGACAGAATTTTGATACAGAAAATAATAAACATGCACAATATAGTATCATGTAATTTTCATAAATTGGTTGATTTGTCAATAATAATAACACTAATAATGCATATCCTTGACCATGTACTGTGCATATATGTGGGAAACATTTGAAAATATAAATAAAAACACTATAGCTGATTAAGTCAATGCTTTGCTGTTATATTTGCTTCTAACAGGCAGACAAGGAGTTTGTGTGGTCACTTTGGAAGCGGCTTCAGGTGGCCAGTCCTGATCTCACCCAGGCTGTGAGTCTTGCTGTGGAAAGGTGAGTCACATTATAAAGTCACATGGACACAATAGCAAATCCTTTCCAAGGATTTTCCCAGTTCTTTTCTACTATTGAATTATTATGCTGTTTCGTTTCTTGACTTGAAATAAATGCTGTTTCTGCCACACGAAATCCCTGATTTGTGAACACACATTGCAGCGGTTCTGCAGGGGTGTGTGTTGGGTGGCTGCGCCGTTGAACACAGTTATGAGAGAACCTGAGAGCAGATGATGATCTAAACCCTCTTATCCTCCGCACAGACTTTCTCTCTCTCTTCTCATCTAAACGCTGAAAAAACTCCTCTTTGAGGGATATACACTAGATTTAACATGACTTATGACCCTCAAAGAGTGGCATGGGAATGTGTTGAAAGGAGAAAAAAAAGAGATCAAATTCGCAATGCCGAATGATTGCCATTGTCATTCCTTCTTTTAGAAGTCTTGATGATGTTAAGCAGATAAAGCAAAATTCGACACTCGGGAGGAAATTGAGACAACTGGCACACTGTTAAAAAAAGTGTAAAAAAAAAAAAACTCAAATACTTGAGGCAACCAGCTTCAGGGCTTTTTTGAGCTTGCTGAACTTATGGAAAAAATTGGATCAACTTAATTAAAGTTAAAGGTCTGTTCTTTGATCATACACAATATAAGTTCTATGAAGTCTTTTTTAAAACTTCATGTTCAGTCTGCTTGCATTTTAAATTAATATAAACACTGATATTACTCTCTAGTTGTTTACAAAATGTTACTTAGTTTTTTTAGCAAACTGAAAATGTTACTTTAGTTCGCTGAAGCAAGTTATAAGTGTGGCGAAATTAAAATGAAAGGCAGCTTGAGGGGCGGCACTGTCAGCTCACAGCAAGAAGGTTGCTGGTTTGAGTCCGGCTGGTCCACGTGGCATATCTGTGTGGAGTTTGTATTCAAGTTTCCTCTGGGTTTCGATATTGGTGAATTGAATGAACTTAAGTGGTTGTAGTGTATGAGATTGTATGGGTGTTTGCAGCTGGAAGGGCATCTGCTGCATGAAACATGCCAGAGTAGCTGGCAGTTTATCTCGCTGTGCTACCTCTGATAAATCAGGGACTAAGCCAAAGAAAAAATAAATGAATAATGAACATAATGCTTGATTATGCATTAATAACAAATCTTAATAACCCAAAGACATGCTTATAGGTGAATTGAATAAATTAAATTGGGAGTAGTGTATGTGTGAATGTGAGAGTGGATGGGTGTTACCCAGTATTGGGTTGCAGCTGAAAGGGCATCTGCTTTATAAAAAAATATGCCTGATAAGTCGGCAGTTCATTCCGCTATGACGACCTCTTTTAAATCAGGGACTAAGCTGAAGTAAAATGAATGAATAAATGAATTTAATGCTAAAACGTTAATTGTGTATTAATAACAAATATTGGTTGCCATATTCATGCTTAAATAATCCTAAATTATTCTGAATCATTCCTGGACTCTCACTACCAAACCTGGATATTGTTTTAAGTTGATGAAACTTGATTTTTTTAAGTTGATCAGACTAAATGCTCCAACTTAACATGTTCTACACTCACTCATTTTTTGCATTGATGAAAAAGTTACTCTGAGCTAAATTTGTTATATTATTGTATATATTTTTTTAAGTTTTAGCTGTCACTTCTATATTAATTTATTTAACCAACAATAGTCTTGAAGGAATTTTGCCAAAAGTGCATTCATTTTCCACGGTTTCCTCTGTTGATCAATTATTTTTCATATTTTCTTTCTTTGGAATATTTACACTTGTTTTTCAATGACGTCTATTGCTTAAACAAATTACTCAAAGGAACAACATTGACTGTGATTTCATTTTTCGTTCAGTGTCAGATTCATTTCAGTTTAATTTTGTTGCCCTGTCTGTTACCAAATAGCAATAGCAATTGAAAGAGTCATTAAAATGTCCAAACCTTGTTAACAAAATTAAAGTCTTTTCACAAAGAATGTTTTGCTTAAATAGAGAAGAGAATAAATATTACTAAATATAAATATATATTTAAATATTTTAAAATAGTTTTAAATTGACTGAATTGATGCTGAAAAAAGAACGGTAATGAATTTATTTGGATAAATATAAAATGATTCTTTCGACTACCTGATGCGAGGTCAGCGATAAGGAGAACTTTTGTGACCGAAATCTGGATCTCAGAAAGTGTGTTCCTTGACACTTGAAGCAATGATAAATAAAAGAGCGGCAGATAGGCTACATGCTCCCATATCACTCACAAGCTCCTTCCTCAGGCGCAGCCAACAAACCGAGCTGCTCCTCAAAGAGCTGGCAACTCGCACCTGAGGCCGTGTGCATATATCAGCATAGCGCCACCCGGGAGATCGACATGATAATTGCGCTGGCTCCGTACAGCACACAGGCTTCTGGGAATTGTGGACGGCCTGGTAGCGAGCGAACGTTTTGGCTTGGGATATGGTTAACATCACCAAGCTTCAAGGCAACAGTGTACTCTGAGGAGAGCTGTATCATGTCAGATGTCCTCAGGGAGAGATGGAATGAGAAAGGGTGGAAGAGATTGAAAAAGTGAACCAGGGAAAGAAGGATCCCAGGTGAGTGGCGGCTGTTCAAACAAACTTGCCCCAATTGTGATTCTTTTGTCTTTTCCCCCCAAACACCCACTAAAGAGGGTTAGATGCTGAAAGGAAAGGAGTGTTTGTGTTCCCTAGTGAGTAGTGTTCCTGTTTTGATATCCTGATAATTACTGATACCTGGAGACTGGAGTTATATCCCATCATTCCCTGTTGACCCTCTGTGGTATAAGCTTAGAGAACGCGCTGAGTGGTTGAAAGGCAATTTTGCCTGTTTTTTCTCCCACAGCATCCAGTCTATCCTACAGTGTTTTATCTCCTAACAGAGCATCAACATTGCATCACCCCAAATAGATTTTCAAATGCGAATGGCTGCAGTGTTCGCTGAGGCCAGTGGATCGGTTTGCCCTCTTCTGTATTCTGTTACTGTGGCTGCCTGCGCCTCTAATTTTGCTCTTTTGTTCAATCTGTGCTGTACTAGAGAGAAGCAGAAGGCTGAGAACAAGGACAGAAAAGTTCTGGAGATCCTTCAAGCAAAAGACTACAGGATCCAAGAGCTGGAGCAGGTACTGTGAGAGCTTTACAACTTAAACTACACCACAGCCACAGGTGTGCAGGCATGCACATGCGGTTTGAGAAACCTTCGTCTCTCCTTTTTTTTAATGAGCGTCTCTGACTGCTTGATAGATCTGCTTGGATGACAGCTAATGATGAAGCCGTGTTGTTAATTCACCTTTAATCATGCCCCTTAATGAAACATCTGTCAGTCGGCTTCATTAGCTGTTCTGTCTCTTCACCAGCAGTGAGTCCGTCAAACGTGTCCACGCATACTCCTCGTTTTTGTAAATAAGATTAGCCATGGCTTGACAACCAATATCAAACCAAACTCGAACCTGCTAAACACTACGCCACGCCATGGTTCCGCCATCGTGACAGCATTATTAATCATAGGCCGATGTGTTGTTTTTTTATAGCAGGAGTTCGCATTTCGTTTGGCAGCACCATAGGTAGGAATAGCTAGATGGCACATTAGCAACTATTGCTAATTAAAGTGATATGTCTACGTGTCTGCCATATTGGAAAGGTCAAGATCTGCTTGTAATTGCAAGGAAGTGAACTGACAGATGTGCTATGCAGCAGGCTGTAACAGTCCCTTCCAATCAATTTTCATAGGATTTGGTTTGTCATAAATGTCAGATGGTTCTGCATGTCGTTGATGATGTTATATTCAAAATCAAAGTACTCTTCATCTGTAGTGCTGAATAGCACAGCCCGATTGAAAGAAGTTTGTATACCATAGTTGAACGTAGAAATTGAAAAACATCCATCATTTATTTTAAATGTAAAATTAAGATCTCCGAACCATCTGGACAAATAAACCAAGGAATTTTTTTGTTTTCTGAAATCTACTTAGTGGGTACTGTATGTGGCTTGGCTGAGTTTACAAATTCTTCACAAAACGTTTAATATGCTTATTTATAACCTAGGGAATAACACCTAGAATGAAATGCTCAGTTTTAACATATTTGGAATGGTTGTGAATATAAAAGAGTTTTTCTGTAATGCTCCTCAGCTTGTTTCAGTACCTCTTTTTCTCTCACACAAACACACACATGATGTACTCTGAAATATGTGTACAAAATAATCATACTTAATTTGTCAAATTGTTGCTTTTAATTGATTAGATGCCTTGTTAAATATATAAAGAAAATCTGAGTATACCTAGGCATAGTTAAATAATAAGAGTTAATGGCTATACCATGAACCTCAAAGACCATTGATTCTTCGTTCTTATGTAAATTCTGCAAGTGTAAAACCCTGGTGAAATCCAGCGCTATCAGAACAGAAATTAGGTTACTCTGGTGGTTTATGTTTGATAACCAACTTGCTACAAGCGAAAAAAGCTAGACCTCTCCACTATGTTAGTTAAAAATCTTTAGATGATCCCAAGATTTCCACAATCTTGGACCAGGCTGTATCCCGAGCAGCTGCTTTGGTGGTCATGGAGGAGTAGAGAAGAGAACATGCATTTGATTCTTGTGAGACTCCAGTGACAGACGAGTCCTCGCTGACGTCCAGCATTCTCCAGCCTCCAGCGCCTAGACTGTAGCTCGGCACAAGACATTTGGCCATAGGAGAATAGGTTGTTCCCAACTAAGCCTGGTTTCCCTCAAGGTTTTTATCCTTTACTTGATAATTGGTAAAGATTTTTCCTCGCCGCTGTCGCCACTGGCTTGCATAGTTCGGGACTTGTAGAGCTGCACATTCATGGATCATTCTTCAGTGTTTGGACTCTCAGCAGTGAATATTAAACCACACTAAACTAACCTGAACTGAACTTAAACTCTAAAACTGAACTGACTGTTTCATTCACTAAAATCTTCTACGTGAAGCTGCTTTGACACAATCTACATTGTAAAAGAGCCATACAAATTTGAATTGAATTTAACAAGACATCTACTCCCTTTGTTAATTTTTTTTTATTTAGCACATGTTTGAGTGAGTGAGAGAGAGCATTAAAGAGGAGTGGAGAGCAGAGCTTATTAATTTTTACAACCTTACAAATATGGTCATCAAGGTCCTTCTGATTTTAAGGGTATTTTATGGTGTAATAAATGATTATATAAAAAACATTTCTGGAGATGTTTTGAACATACCTAAGCCATATACAAGGGTTGGACAATAAAATTAAAACACTTTCCAATTTAGTATTGAGGTTTCAAGGCTAAATATAACTAGCCTGGTGGCCAATCTTTACTGATTGCACAGTCCACCAGTAATAGCTGAGTGTGAAGGTTTAAATAGTAGAGTAATAGCACAGTATGGCTTAAAATGTTTCAATGCACACAACATTATAGGTGACATATCAGACTTTTAAAGGGGACAAATTGTTGGTGCACATCTTGCTGGAGCATCTGGGACCAAGACAGCAAGTCTTTATGATGTATCAAGAGCCACGATATTTAGAGTAATGTCAGCATACCACCAAGAAGGAAGAACAACATCCAACAGGAGTAACTGTGGATGCAGGAGGATGCTGTCTGTATCCAAAAAACATAACTCAATGCAAAATTAAATGTTCACCTTAACTTTCCCGTTTCCACCAAAACGGCCAAATGGCCAAATCACTCATGCCAGTACCAAACATCAGTTTCAATGGTGCCAGCAGCAAAAATCTTGGGCTTGGGACAATATGAAGTATGTATTGTTAGCTGTTGAGTCTACCTTCACTGTCTTTCCCACATCCAGGAGAGTTAATGGTGAGGAGAGTTACGGTGTGGCTCAAAATTTCTCTGGCCACTGTGCAGGACTTGTGCATGTCATTCCCAAGATGAATTGATGCTGTATTGGCCACAAATGGAGGCCCTTTATTGTGGTCTAAAACCAGGTGTTTCAATTTCATTGTCCAACCCCTGTACCTACTATGTAGATATTAGTAAACAATTTAACTTAATTAATAAATCAATGCAGTATGTGTTAGAGGGGTTTGCATTTGCTAGGGGTGAGTGAGCCATCTTTAAACCACCGGAATAACCTAATTTGAACATCTCAGATAACAAATTTGCAAAAGATATGTAAACATTTCAAATAACTTACACATGCTTATTCCGAATATATGTAAAAGACACTCGTCAGATGTTATTTTAAAAAGCAGGCATGAGATTCAGCTGTGTGCTCTTCATTTTCTGTCTGGTTTAGGCTCAAAATGATACGGCAAACAGCTACTCTGACTGACAGTATTTTCTCAGCGCAAAAGCATGTGTTATTAGAAGTGTGATGCTTTTCCTGGTAACATGGAGCCGATCCACAAATTACAGCACATTGTGGTGGCTGAGCAATCAGAGTCTCTTGAGGGTGGGACTTTTAGAGGAACAAGGTAATATGGCAGTCGTTTTCATGTTAGCTGAGTAGCTATATATAATTAAAGTACAATATATGAAAAAAATTACGTGATTTTTTTTTTTTTTTACAAATGAAGTATGACCCCACATTTCTTTGCATCTTATAAACATAACCAAGCCTTAAAAATACACTCTGGACCACCCCTTTAAGAAAAGTCGTAGTAAGAGCTGAGTTAAATGATACCATAAATGTGCATTGAACACCAGGGATGGGACAAAACATGCTTATGCCAATATTTCCAGCCACAAGACATTTATTGATACTCTGAAATCAATACTTATTTAACTGTAAAGATTTATTTAAATGTAATGAACTGAATTTATTTATCACAGTCTTGTACTGTGTTCGTTTACTGCTTCAATGCTAGTACACTCAGCCACTTTGAGGTGGTGCTTCCCGTAATGATGAATAAACAACAATTCAGAGATCTGCTTACTTTGTCAGGAATATGGGTTTAAACTGTTTAAGTTAAATTCCACATTTTCGTTTAGATAAAGATAAGCCGGTATTAATAGTTGAACATGAACATATCATTTAAAGGGCCTTCAAACTTTGGCTGAAATTATTAGAAAATTAAAACTTAAAAATTATATCATATTTAAAATGGCTAAAAAAAGACATGTAACAATAAACAGAAGTTGTTTTGATTGCATAGAAAAGAAGTAATAAATAGGATACAGTATATGTCTGCATTGTACTTTAAATATAAGCTAGGATGTTCTAATAATTTTAGGGGGAGTTTTGCATTTTTTGTGCATTGTTGCAATTCTATAAAATATGTGAAGTTAATAAAAGAAATTCATCTTATAACTTTTAGAAGATGCACGAGAGCAAATAACGCCTATTTTGGGGAAAAAAAAAAAAAAACTGCACTGGCTTCCTGTCAGTTTTCAAATTGATTTTAAATTCCTCATGTTAGCGTACTGTACAAGGCCTTGAGTGCTTCAGCACCACAATATTTATCTGAGATTTTAATTCCATACACTCCAAGACAAGCTTTATGCTCGACTCATGCTCAGTCAACGCAGCTAAAATCTATGGGAGACCGGGCACTCTCTTCGTTGTCACCTGTTTTGTGGAACTCTTTGACCATCTGATATTCGTAATGCAGAATCCCTGAGTATTGTGAAATTGTCTCTTAAAATGTACTTTTTATTTAGGGTAGCATTGATTTGATTTATATTTGATTTTTAGGTATAGTACTATTGTTACTATTTTATGTGTGTATATATATATATATATATATATATATATATATATATATATATATATATATATATATATATTTTTTTTTTAATATATATATTTTAGATATATTTTTTATTTTTATTTTTTGCTTTCATCCTTGTATCTTGTACTGCTGCACATTTTATATGTTTGTAAAGTGTTTTGAGATGCTACTTTTAAAGGCGTTATATAAAACTAAGTTTATTATTATAGTTAATATTATTATATATTATTTACTATATTATTATTATATATTATTATTATATTATTATTTATAACACATTTACACATTTATTTCTCTCTTTATTTGCAATATTGTGAATGGCGACGCAGTTTCTCTCTGCCTTTGCCATTTTGTAATCTCACTAGGAAACGCAGTGGCCAATCAAATGCAGCTTAAAATGTGCATATTAATGATTCTATGTGCAACATAACAGTCAGCGTTTTGTTCTGATTGTTTTTTTTTTTTTTTGCACCAGTATTTTACACTTACAGGATTTATATGAAAACAAAAAAACAGTGGCATTTGAGGCTTAAAGTATGCCATTTCCATTTACTGAACTCTTTTTACTCTGCTATGCTTAGGTTTATCAGGATTTTATATGGACCTTTAACAATGCTATTCCTATTATTACAAGACCTCTTCTGTAGCAATTGAAACACTAACACTGACTTCACACAAATCCTTATTACCTAAATTGTAATTGATGCATTGTTTCTACAGTTGCATAATCTTGTGCCAGTATAGATACGTAATTTACCATTTAAAATAGATTGTCGACTGTATTTTGACTGTCAGGAAAAACCATTCTATGCTTTAATATCTCAGGTCAGCAGTTCCTGATGTTTTAGTATGCAATAACATTAGGATATTAGAAAAATAAGTTACAGTTTGTAATGAGTCTTTTCTTTTGCCAGGTTTGAGTTTCAGTGGCCTGTTAATGGAAGACGGCCATTGTGCCCTGTTTGAGAAACTCATTAATAGTCAGATTTCTGGGTACCACTCAAAACCACTGGCATTTGTCTCATCCCAAATTTGCGCCAAATGAGCCCAAATGTGATTAATTGCTTTTTCCTTCCTTGGCCGTGTGATGGTCTGCTGAATCCTCATCTCATCTCTGCATTTCCACAGTAACTTTGACCAGCTTTCCTTCCACCCCTCCCCCTTCCATTACCCCTCTTCTTCCATTTTTGTAACATAATTAGCTTTCATTTTTGAACTGCACTGGGAATTTCTAATGCTAATCTCTCTGTCCTAGACCTCTTAACTTCTTTAAACCTCTTTTCCTACCAATTGAGAAGTACTGGGGTTAAAACAGTGCTTGCCTACCTCATTATCAACACTTTGAATTGAGCTTCACTTGTGCTATAAATCTCTATTAAAACCTGCATTTGCATGGTGCACAGACAGAACATAAGTTCTCTATCTAGAAAGATTCAAGTGATTTCCCCCAACATGGCAATTAATTGCCTCCCACAGCTCAGGGTTATTTTTTGAGATATCAGCGTTGAGTCGACACAACCAGTTAGTGTGTTAGTGATAGGAGTGCATTATCGCAATATCAGAGATGGTTGAGGCATAACTGTGGGCAAAATTGAATCTTTGCACTGAGCATAGAACAGTCCTTAAAATGGTAGTTTACTTGTAAGTGTGCAATAATGTATTAAGCACTCGTGCCGATTTAGTCTTTTAACAGAAAAATAGAAATATGTCAAAAAACAGGAGAGATTTCTATAAAAACTAGTTTTCAAAAAAAAAAAAAAAAACATCACAAACAAGTATCCATATAAATCAAGAAGTGTATTTTCTATATCTTGTTGGATCTTTTATTATTATTATTATTATTATTATTATTATTATTATTATTATTATTTATTCAGCTATTTACAGTCCTGGACAAAATGTCTGCTCACGCAATCTGCTTGTGTGAAATAAACTGAGATATGTGCACTGTATGTGAGACATAGTGGCAAGTGAACATCTAAAGCATACTTTTAGCTTCATCATGTCCCGCTGACACGTCACAGCGCAGCGCTGCTAATTCTTTGGACATGTAACCTGTATCCAACTTGCAAGCGTTTAGCACTATGGGACAAAACTCCTGTGACATGCTTTCCCATCTCTGTATCACACTAACTGCTGACCCCATTACAGAAACTATTAATGAAATCTAACACGCAGTGCTTTAAGCACTCATACCCAGATTGCTTTTGACTAACGGCTGTCTCTCACTATCACTTGTGTGGCTCTTTAAACAGAAAGTGACGGCAGAAGAGCAGGAGATAAACAAGCGAGTCCAGCAGTTGCGTGGCAGTGAAGAGGAGTGCACTCTAATGAAGAAAGAACTGGCAGCTCTGCAGCACAGACTGGGGAATAAGAGTCGACAACTTAAGGTTTGGACAAATTTCCACTGGCACCACTTTTAAAGCGCTGCCTCTGCGCCTGTGACAACGGGAAGAGAGGGAGGAAAAAAAACTGACAAGCCCCTGGAGGCAATCGCCTAAGGCCCTCAAAATCCCGGGTCGGGGGCAGAGGGTGGCGGGGGTGGGGGTTTGTGCTAGTGACAGTGGAGCTTGGAAAAGCAGCTAACTTTCTCAATAAATACTTAATGATGGCCGAGCAGAAGGAAAGTGTATGTGTATGTGATGTGGCTTCTCCTTAATTACCTTCTGATGGGACTGGCATGATTAATTGATAAAGTGAAGATCTGGGGAGGATGTGTCTTTGCTGGGTCTCTCTTAGCAAAGGGAGGGAAGGATAGTGCGGGCAAAAAAAAAAAGAAAGAAAGAGAGAAAGGAGCGAGAGATCAGCATCAAAGGCAGGCTGGTAGGACTAATGGGCCTGTAGTGGAGCTATTCTCATTAGAGCTGTCATTAGAGCTAAAGATGGCCCCAGTGCCGGGCTACCTGCGTGGGCTTCAGCTCGCCCTGCCAACGCAGGTGAGCTCCAGACTTCTCTCTCTGGCCCTGCCCGCTCCGCTGCCCTTTCATCCCGGCGCCGCGGCCATCTCTCGCTCTCTCTTTTTCCCGGCAGGAAGCGAGGAGGCAAGCGCAGGAGTGTGAGGAGGAGGGCAGGCGTGCCCTACAGGAAGCCAGGCAACAATTAGATGCTCAGCACTCGGCCTCTCAGGCAGAGCTGGAGAGATTGCGGGACCAAGAGGCCGTCAGCAGTTCCAGAGTCAAGGTAAGGTCCCCCGCTTCTTCTCTCTAAGCGGGTTCATGTAAATGAACTTGTCTCACAATGCACAAATGTTAAATATTGATAGATATGTTCAGAGGGGGGGCGAAATAATGACTTGCTGGGTTAACATGGTGGGCCCAATTTTTCCTTTCCCCATGCAACAGCGGCAGTGTACCCTGTGCATCGTGACCAGAGGTGTTTTACATGTGGCCCCGAATCAGCCCTGCCTGCTGTCGCGGTGCTTAGTGACTCCGGCTATAATGACCTACTACAGACGGAGCTGTTGTTAGCATGTTCCATAGGGCCTCGTTCGGCATTTGTGTATGTTTAATAGGGCTTGTGTCCTCTTGGGTTGAGTGTCACTCAAGCACCTGTGTGATTACCTGCTTTACATACAGATTTGTGTTCATTACTCTCCGTGGGGAAGGGCAGAGGCAGGTCTGTGCGGACCTTAAACTCTAACTAGTCCAATTAAATTAGACTGTAGTGGTGCTCGGACTCTGTCCCCTTTCCTCCTGCGTTCTCTGTCTCTCTCTGTGCCCCTGTCAGCGCTGGCTAGTTTTTAATGAGGACTGGCCGTGCTCTCCATGGCCTGAGCGTTTGATGCTCGGCATCTGTTTGCTTCTCATTATCTCCATCAGCTCCTGTGATATGCTGCTGATAGGCTTCCCGCTTTAGTTGCTTGTGTTTTATTTCTCTTCTGTTGTCTTTCTTTTGTTTCTTATTAGTTTGTGCCCCCTGTAAGATGGGTCCATGAAAAATAAAGAAAACAAAAAATCAAAGTTTGTGTGCAATAAATGTACTTAACAAATATAATCTTGAGAAACAGTACATCGTTAGAAAGGTCAAACCATTTATTCATCTCCTATTTTGTTACACATATCTAATAATAGCAGCAAACATACAGAATTCAAAATGGGGAATAAGGTAGACTGTTTAGATAAAATTTCTTTAATACACGATTCAGGAAATGTAAAAAGGCATTAAACTGTATATATTGTGCAAAACATTCAGTCTAAAATTAAAATCCGGTCATCATTTACTCACCCTTCTCTTGTTCAGAACCTATTTAAGTTTCATTCTTCTATTCTCTAACACAAAAGAAGATATTTGTAAAAATGCTGGTTGCTCGGACCCATTGACTTCCATAGTCTTTTTCTTTCCCTCGAAATATATTTTGTGTTCAACGGGAAAAAAAATCTCATAGAGGTTTAAAACCACATAATTGTTGTAAATTATCTAATCTAAAATGTGTTTTGATGGTAAGCTAAAATGCAACCAACCATAGCACAGGTTATTCATTCATTCGTCCATTTTCCTTCGGCTTAGTCCTTTTATTCGTCAGGGGTTGCCACATTGGAATGAACCGCCAACTCATCTAGCATATGTTTTAGGCAGCAGATGCCATTCCAGCTGCAACCCAGTTCTGGGAAACACCCATACATTCTCACATTTACACAAATACACTACTGCCAATTTAGCTTATTATTTTATTCATGTTCCAGGTAATTATAAAAAAGTTATAGTTAGCATTTGACAAAGGGGAGAATCTCTCCCAGTTCAGTGCTGGATTTGGCTAAAACTCCTGTTTTTAACAAAGCTGTGGATTGTGAGCCACAACCTGTAAGTATTTTTATTTAAAAGTTAAAGGGCCATAAAAACCCCCTCGTTTCAGCAGGGTGTTCTCACACCTCTACTTTGGAAAAAGCCAGAAAAGTGGGCTTGTCCAGCTCTGTTTAGGGGAGCGTGTCGGAGAAGCAAAAGAGGGATGGTGTGGGAGTGTCTATTTGACCACGCGCTGAGTTTCAGAGTCAAAACGCACACACACACACACACGCACGCACACACACACACACACACACACACACACACACACACACACACAGGGGAGAAAGTGACTGTGTTTACATGGACATCTGTAATCAAATTATTAAATGGTCGGACTTTAACTGCAGTTTGGCACTTTCATTCAGGGAATTCATTCGTGCCCCTCGTGACAAACGAGATATTTGATTCTGCTGTAAGCGTGTATTTTTTATGCAATGTTTGATACCACACGGCGAATGAGAGAAAAAAATTAACTCTACATTTCTCTGTAACTTAGATGCACTCAGCGGGTGAGCCGCGTGTGTTATTCCGGTCACAAAATGCTGTGAAAATCCTACACTTGGTGCAATAGTTAGTTCGATACTTACCAAATCTGTAGAGACAGGACAATCCACAACAACTAGAACCGCGTCTTTATTAAGAGGAGAAGAGAAGCGAATCCGGATCTCCATTTGCAGAAGAGAAAGTCTCGGGTAAACAATGTTCCTTAGACACGTAAGTTATTGTTGTCGCGCGTCGCATCGCATGCACTGTAATCCACGCGTGATTCCAGCTGCGCTCTCACAGAGAGAAAATGAAAACAAAACTTCACTTCAACAAATTAGGAAAGCAACACTGCACGCTTGTTTTGCCAACACAATATGGTGTCTTTGCTGTGTTGCCGTCTACACTGTAACATTAATGAATATTAATGAAGTTGCACAATAGAGCACGCTGATTGGTTTGAATCAAGTCTTACTCATGCATTAATGCAGCACACTCAGACACGTAATACGGTACACCCAGGTACAATCGCCCAGTCTACACGCTGGAATACACACTATGATCTGATGGCCGTGACGCAGCTTCAAAAATTCGTTTCAAACTGGAAGTATGAATTTGCTCGAAATAACGCAAAAACTACCAATTTTCACTTTTTAGTGAGATATATGTGTCCTAATAGTGTTTTTAACAGTGTGGGACACATGTACAACTGTCAACAGCTCAAAAAATTTGTTTCGGTGTTTCGTGACCCTTTAAGATTGATCTATTACATGCACAGTTTCTAGCGTTAACAAAATGTTGTAGCGAGGACAAAAACAAGGATGCTGTTTGGCACCACTAACTATTTAGCTACAAATTCATATTTATCAGTTACTGCTGTAAACACCCACAATCTTCAGCAGTGCATGCAGTGTCTCTCTATGCGGATGCATTCAGTGTCTTTCTGTGCGACCACTTTCCCTGCGTTTTACATCTCAAATAACAAACTTGCAAAAGATATGAGAACATTTCATATTACTTACAGATGCTTATTCCGGTCATATGGGAATACACTTGTCAGATTTTATTTTGAAGAGCAGACATGAGGTTCAGTTGTGTGCTCTTCATTTTCTGTCTGATTTAGGAATCTAATGCTACTAACAGCTGCTCTAACTGACTGTTCATACAGCGCAAAAGCGCATGCTTGTAGGGGCGTGACAGAGCCAATTAGGGAATCACAGCACATTATGTTAGATGACCAATCAAGGCCTCTTGAGGGCGGGCCTTTCAGAGGAACTAGAAAATATGTCAGCCGTTTTCACACATTGCTTTGTATTTTAGGGCGTGCACACACTATGTACAGTTGCCTTGAACTGGGCTTGTCCCCCCTCCCGTTTCCCACTGATGGCCCGCACACACATTACTTTCGGGCCTGGTCACATCTTGTCTTCAGTTTGAGGTGCGCTTTGCACTCACACTATAAGTGTACTGCCTGAGCCTAAGTGAACCGTGCTCTGGCACACCTTTTCCAACCGGGCCAGGGCTGGCCAAGTGAACCGCGCCTGAGCCCGATTCAGAGGACTCACACTTCTCAAACAATCCGGGAAATGGGCCTAGCCACGGTTCGGATAGCATAGTGTGAGTACGCCCTTATACAGTATACACAACCAAGCCTTAAAAATACACTGTGGATCACCCCTTTAAAGTATCATGATTCATTTTGTATGTGTTATATATACAAATAATTTAATAGTATGTTATATTAGTACATTATTTGTTCAAATGTTGTTTGAGAATAACACGATTTCAGGAACTGATGAGAGCATGTCTGTAGAGAGCAGCAAAAAAGTTTTGTTATGGAGATGGTTGTGGATGGCTTTTATGCAGTCTTGTGCACATGGCTGCTCATTTTGAATACTCCAAAATCACTGACATTAGAATGAGCTTAAGAATCCCTAATCTAGTGTATTAGCTTACATTTTTCTGAGACGTTTGGATGTGTGTACAAATGTGAATCGTCATGAACAAGACCCTCTGTTTCGACTGAGAACAGCTTGTATTAAACACATAAGAAAAGCTTAAACACTAATAGCCCCTGGTTTTTAGACAACATTTTCACCATTCATAAAAGATGAAGCAGGTGATCCAAAACGTCACTATAGATGTAAGGGGTAGGACTTTGATATTTTTTTTAAGAAATGCTTTAAAAACTTTTTTTAAATCTTGAGTTTTATATTCATCAATTTCTTGCACCCTATATTTTACTACCCACACAAACTAAGCATTGATGCAAAATGTTGACTTTAATATGAACAGTATATCTTCAGGGGTACTTTCTGTGATGTAATTTCATGTTCTTTGTTTTCCTTGCTATGCCGCCTCTTTAAATCTTTGTCCTTCATATCACATAATTTTGATATGGCAGCTTGAAGATTTAAATGTGTTAATGAGAAGTGAAAAAGTATAATAAAAAACATGGATGGAGCAGCTTTAGGGACTTTCATGATAATTTTTTAATAATAAATTTCAATTCAGAAATTTAAAAAAGTAATCAGAGAAGCATGTTTAATGTGTTTGTATGTGTTTCTAATGGATTTAAAAATAATGAGTAGACTGTGAAACAAATGTCATGTCATTGACTGTGCTGCCAATAAATATTCAATGTCTTGTTTCAGAATTTGGAAGAGGAAGTGTTCAGAAGCAGACAGGATTTGCTAGAGGCTCAGAGCCGCTCAACTGCTTTGTCCCTTCAGCTATCCTCAGTAGAACGAGAAAGAGCTGACAACGAACAACAACTCTGTCAAATCAAGTAAGTAGAGGCTGCACAGATCTGGCTGAGTTTTGATTATCCCTGATCATATGAGTTTATTGTGATTCTTGTTTCATGTGCATATCCAGCTGTGCCCTACACTCTCAGAAAAAAAATGGCGCAATGTTGTCCTAAAGAAGGTACAAACCCTTGTACTGGGGCAGTACCTTTTTATGGAACAGAATTATACCTTGAGACAAAGAAACAAATTTGTACCATTGCAGTTTGTACATTTAAGGACATGATTTTTAGCATGGGAAACCAAAATGTACCTTTGGTTTTTAAAACCTGCAGATACAATATTGTATCTTCATCAAAGGTACAAATCTAATCCATGAAGGAAGCACTACAGTGACAGGACACTTTGTACCTTAACATTGTCAAATGTTTGCTATATCAAAAATGTGTCAATTTATTTACAGTAAATATAAAACATCAAATATAACAAACAATGAAACATTGCTCTTTTTGTTTTTTTAAGTTTCAATGTAAGTAAGTTTATTACTGTGTAAATACACCTTTTCCATTTACGATAAAAAATACTTTAAAATAAACCTAAAGATATTTTTTGCTATATTCTCCCATGTACAATATAAAGGAATTTTTTTCTCTAGTTTTCACACAATCCCTTTGTAATCACTTAAAAGTAAAAAAAAAAATGTGCAAAAGTATAGCAACGAGATATGCACAATGTTTGACTAGTTTTACGGTAGTAGAATGTCTCCATGAACACTTACAAGTATATGCAGGACTTTTGCCATCTCACGTGTGTAGTGGAAAGCAAACACCAAAAGTTGCAGATATCAATAATGAAAATGTATTTATCAGACAATGCTTAGCAAATGTTTATTTAAAAAACGCCTTAAAGGTTTGGTTTACAATACCTATAGTTTTGTTTTACCAGTTGTTTTGTATTATATTGTAGTTCTTAATAATTCATGTTTATGAGTTTCTTTAAACATATGCTTTTTAAACGATGATTCATGTTTTAATATGGAAATTATTCATAAAATCACTTTACCTTTCCACTAATATTTATTTTCATAGGTATTGTAATAAAGAAGGAGTTGTTTAACACTTTTGATTCATACGAGAACAATTGTGTACCTTCATTTCAATTGTACCATAAAAGGTACAGAACATTAACATAAGAGGTCTTTTCTGTACCTTAAAAAGTACAACTTTTACAAAGGTACTAAACCATTGCTTAAGTAACATAATTTGTACCACCGTGTACCTTTTTTTTCTAAGAGTGTAGACTTCCAAAGCCTGAATGTCCACATATGAATAGTAGTTTGTCTATGGGGACAAAATTTCATTATGTTATCAATAAAAATGTGGCATCTGTAATGGTTAGGGGTAGTGTTTTTTATGGATCACTGTCACAATATTACAGTTAGAATTAGTTTAGTTGTGTTTTTAGTTGTTTGTTATTATAGTACAGACAAACCAAGGCAAGTTATTTTATTTTATTAAATTGGACATTATAATTCATAGTGTTTTTTCTTAAAAAAGGTGCAAAATTTGTTGAGGAGAAAAATCAACAGAGTAAACATGATTAAAAACATTACACATGTTTTCACAAGAATTCATGTATATAGCTTTATTCTTTGCTTTATTTCTGTTCACTTTTTCAAGCAACACTATTGGTTTTAGTTTTAGGTTAGTGGAATAACCTTGGGTATGGCTTGGGGATCGAATATACTTACGCAGTTAAAAATTCAAAAATCCCTGTGTGTACTCTGTATGTGGTCTGTGTGTGAAGATTGTGAGGACCAAAGCCACCACGAGAACAGTATGACAATTTTTGATATGGGATGGAATTTTGGTCCCATTAGTTTGGTCCCCTTACTTATTAGTACTGTACGTTTTTCTCTCTCTAAGGCATATGCATAGAATGTAAAGTTAGCACAAAACAATGTGTATGAACAGTAAAACCCAAAAAGTCATGTGCGCATGTGTCCAGGCGTGAGCTCCAGGACCTGCAGTGTCTGTACAAGCAGAGCGTAGAACATGCAGGAGAACAGGCCCATCTTATTCAGCAGCTGGAGGGTCTTAACCTGGACACGCAAAGAGTCCTGCGCAGCCAGGAGGAGGCCCACACAGCGGACACCGTCTCTTACCAGAAGGTACAGGCACGCATCTGTTGTGTGAACTTAGCGCCTGTCCTCACAAGTGAACGCGCTGCCCCTCGGGGGGTGAACTTGTGTTGGAGCAAGGACTTAACTGCATTAACCGAGCTTGTCCTTCACTGTCTGTTTCTGCTGTGACAGCTCTACAGCGAGCTGAGCGTGTCATACCAGGCCCTTTGGCACAGCCAGGAACAGCTCCACCAGCGGGAAGCAGCCCTCAGCATGCAGCTCAGCCAGAGAGATCAGCAGATCCAAGAACTCCAGGCACAGCTGCAGAGTTTCACAGCAGCCGCGGGGCACTGTGAGGTGAGTGCGTGTAGGGAGCACCATGACAGATTTACATCACGCTCAATGCCCTTTGTATGCAAAGCAAGCTGAATGAGCACTTCAGCAAAACCACACACCGTTCATTTCCTTTTTTCTCCTCTTAGTAAAACCACATCCATAATAAATGAAATGCCTTTCAGTAAGAAAGCTCTGGGAAGAGATGGTCAGGAGTTTTTGTCCACTGTTCTTTTTCAAAAGCAAATGTCCAAAGCATGTGCCATTAACCCTGCTAAAACCATGCCAGATTGACTCTTAACTACGTGTGTAATCAGTTAATGTGTATTTGTAAACAATGTTAATAATGATATAGACTTCAATCTATGGTTTATAAAAGTCTTTCATATGGTCACCGAGGCTGTGTTTGTTTAACCATAAGCGATGCTGTGAAATACTGTTACAGTTTCAAAAAGCTTTTTTCCATTCTTACAGTTATTCCTGTAACGGCAAAGCTAAATAATCAGCAACCATCACTTCAAACTTCAAGTAATGTGCTGATTTTGTGCTCAATAAACAGTTATTTATTAGTACTGAGTAATTTGCATGAAATAATGATACACTTTAAAAAAAAAAATTGTATCCTGTTTTTGAAGTCACTTTTAGGTGTTTTCTATAGTAGGTAGGTAGAAAAACTAACCTCATCTTCATACACATTTTGGCTCTATTTTTTCAGTTTAAATTAGATTATAATCACAATTTTCTTTCGTCACAATTTAACTCCGTCAATGATGTAAACTACTAAAATATTACGCTTAGTTTTTATTAGAATTTAGGATAATTTATTTTGTTTCATTTTTAACACTTTTTTAAATAATGCTGTTCTTTAGTGAACAACAGTAAAGTAATGCAATGTGACATTGTAGATAAGCTGCTGTATTTATAACTTTCCGTAGTTTATGAGATCTTTGTGAAATTCGATTGTTGAGAATTGTCTTATGACATTGATATTTAGTTTGGGCGATAACTAGTGCCAGACAGAATCTGCAAACATTTTTTGCTATTTCTGCACAGAATTTTGAAAAAAATTCTGCAGATTTATACAGGTTTGATTTTAGGGGGAATCGTAACTAAAAACTTAAAAATAAAAAATCATATGAACATTTTCATATTAATCAATAATATTACTGAAATTAATTCACAAACTGAATAAATATACAGTTAAAGGCAGAATTATTTAACCCCCTTTGACATTTTTTTGTCTTTTTTTTTTTTTTTAAATATTTCCCAAATGATGTTTAACAGAGCTAGGAAATTTTCACAGTATGTCTGATGATATTTTTTCTTCTGGAGAAAGTCTTATTAGTTTTTTTTTCGAATATAATAAAAGTTTTTAATTTTTCAAAATACATTTTAAGGTCAACATTATTAGCCCCTTTAAGCTATATTTATATATATTTTTTATAATAGTCTACAGAACAAACCATCGTTACACAATAACTTGCCTAATTACCCTAACCTGTCTAGTTTACCTAATTAACCTAGTTAAGCCTTTAAATGTCAGTTTAAACTGTATAGAAGTGTCTTGAAAAATATCTAGTAAAATATTATGTATTGTCATCATGGCAAAGATAAAATAAATCAGTTATTAGAAAGGAGTTATTAAAACTATTATTTTTTAGAAACGTGTTCTCTCCGTTAAAAAGAAATTGGGGAAAAAATAAACAGCGTGGCTAATAATTCAGGGGGGCTAATAATTCTGACTTCAACTATAAATGTACACACATTTACACAAACAAATGAATAGACTTGATGGGCTAAAATCTGCGGATGCGTGTTTAGCAAACTATAACTAATGGTATATGAGGAATGAATGATTGCATTCACTTGGACTTTCTATTGAACTGGTGCACCTTTTGCTTGTTTTTTGGGTGTGTATGTTGATTGTGTTGTTTTTAGTTTTAATTTAGCTCAAATTGGTACAGTTTAAATAGCAGACATTATCGTTAGCTTATTGTATTACATATTATAGCTTACTTGTATTAAATTTTTTCATAGATCAACTCCAGGTTGCGTGCTTTTTTTGTACTTTTTTTTTTGGTTGCAAATCAACCACTAGAAATTGATGACCATCTTTTAGAACGAGTCCCTGACCAGAATGTATCAATCCACACTTTATGAGCTTTAGAAAATGGCTGCATGGGGATGGAGCTCTAGCAGTTTTGTAGCAATAATGCAGAACGTTGCTGGAAATTTTGCTCGAGCATTAGCAAACGGTTCAGTTAGCAAGTACAACTATGCAAAAGTCCCACAGAAAGCATTTCTCCAAAAGTGCTGTTGTAGATTCAGCCAGATATGTGTTGTCTCTGTTTATACACGTGTACCTCACCGTATGGAGGCACATCTCGTGATTTTGGGTATGCACGATAATCAATGCATGCTTTATGCACAGTTCCAATGTATTGCTTTGAATATCAAGTTGTGTTTACTGAGTTCATGTAGTGGTTGCCTGGCTGTTTTGTTTCTTAACAGTTTTACCTACAGACATCAAAGTGATCTGATCAGTTATCCCAAGGTGTAACACAGTCAAGAGGGCTTTCCATTCCCCGCTATAATTGCACTGACTGGGATGTGTATTCTAGTGTAATCTGAAATTCTGTATCAGCTTCTTCCTGAACACCTGTTAAATTCTAATGCACTGGTTGTTAGAGCTTTATTTTAATTTTAAATGTTAGGAATGATCAAAGTGCTGATCAGCAGAGGGAGCTGAGCAAGACCAGACTCTCATTTGAATAAAGGAGGAGTGATGGAGGAAGAAAAGTCCAAGCGGAACAAAAAAAAAAGAAAAAAAGAAAAAGCCCATTGTGTTGGGGCTAAAGAAGTGCACAAAGGCCAGTGCAGGCTGAAATCATGTATTTCTGTATTAGAAATATGGATGTGACCTGTCCTAAATAAATAATGCACATTTCAAATATTTAATTCAAACCTGGTCACAGTGGGATTAAGCAATAAAAATTTGATTTTGAAACAAAGTATTAGCCCATAAACATTTATTTCAAAGGCAGTCTTTGGTGCATTTTCTTATGAGCTGTGCTTTTCTTATGACCAATACTACTAAAAACATGTTCTTGATTTGTATTATTGTGTAATTATTAATACAGATAGCAGGAAAGAAAATAATAGAATTTCAGTCTTAATTAGTAAGGTCTAATGGCATGATAAAAGTATCAGGATGTTGTATCACCATAAAAAGGCTAATTTTGAGATAATAATCTGTTGAAATAATTCAATTAAGTGAGAAGAAAAAGACCATTAAGTGATATCAGAGGCATGAAACTAGCACAGACACCCTGTAAAAAACAAATGTTGTACATAAAGAGCATTGGACTAGAAAATAGTTTGTGTAATATATATATATATATATATATATATCAAAATGATGCTGCTGATCAGAATCGTGCTTTCAGAGACGGAAATGATTTTTTTCATGCTTTAAAAAGCCATCAATATCTAAGTTTTTTACACAGAGGCAATTATTATGTTGTTTATAAATGATGCTAATGTATTATTATTTGTAAGCCCTATAATATCAAGCATCGTTTTAGTTTTTCCTCTTATTAAAAATGCTGAAACTGCAGATTTAACAGGGTGGTATCCAGTTGTAATCTGTGAACTTTGACTGGGCCACTGTGTGGCTTTTATGGGATGTTTCAAGTCATTGTTCTTTGGAAGTAAATCCCAGTGATCTTACCGATTGCACTATTTTCCCTCAGGATTTTTCAGTGCTTTGCTATTTCTATTTTTCCTTTCATCTCTTGCTTTCCTGTGGCAGTCTGGCCGTGCGGTGACGTGACCCAGGTTGTCACTATGGTGCTTCTGCCTTTCTCTGATCTAAATCAGTATTTAAGCCTTGTAGGTTCTTCCTTTCTAGTCAAAAGCCATTGAAAACCAAGTCCAGAATTGGCCTCCTGAGGATTACACAGGAAGTGTTGCATCTTGCAGTCTATTAGCAACGCATTTAACACTCCATGTGGCATCCCCTGTCTCAACAAGGGGATTTATTGCAGCTTCGTGCAGTTGCCTATGCAATCTCTAGCTACTACACGGAGTGACAAAGTTTTATTATGAATACTGACAAGAACTGTTAGAAATGCGTAGCTTCTCACATCTCAGCGTGAGCGTTTGTTGCTCCTCTAGGATCAACAACTGGCAAATTGATCTCGCGGTGTAGATTGATTGGACATGCAGATTTTTATTAACTTGTTTCGAGTGAAGTCGTTGATTAATCTCGGAATTAATTAACACTGCTATTTTTTTTTTCTTTTTCTGTGTTTAACTCGATTTTATAGACGGCCAAAGACATTTAGTGATCACTTAATCAGCTTTATCACCTATCGAAGTATTTATTTAATAGGTGGAATGTTATGAATTTAATTAAAGTTTGAGATTGCGAGAAACCTCCCAAGTGATGAAATTTCAATGTCTCGCTCCCCATTTCTCCCTATTCCAGAGCCCAGACGCTCCTCTCAACATCTGCCTCTGCGTGTTATTAGTGTTAGTGAAAGCCGAGCTGTCAGATGTATAATTGAAGTGTCCGCTCCCTGCACACACGGCTTGTTATGTGGGGTCATGTTTAGATGAGTAGATGTGTTTCTTTTGATCACTATCTGACGCTCAAACCCTGAGCTTCCAGCATACTGAGAGGCTGCCGATGTGTTTGGCTTTAAATCTTTAGGAGCCAATGCCTCCATCACTGTGGGTTGCCTCGCCAGTTTGTTTCACTCAACTTGTTTGGATAACATTAACGGGATGATGTCTCATCAGGCCTATTGTACGTCTACAGCAAGTGTTTCCTCAGAGTGCATCTTTTGTGTCTTTAAAGGGTTAGTTCACCACAAAATCAAAACTTTTGTTCATCTTCTGAACATAAATAAAGATTTTTTTAGGAAATCTGATAGATTGCTAATCTCCACTGAATGTCTTTTCAAACAACAATCTCCAAACATATAGGGATCAAATCCATTTTTGTTTATTAAAGTCTTCTA